TTTGCAAACTTGCTGCTCGAAATCAGAAATGTTTCTCGAAAGCAAATGTACGTCAGGACCCAAATTATTTCTTGTTCTGCCGGAAAACTATTTCGGAGCTCTTAAAATGTGAATAAACAACAACAAGATACGGTATTTCATTATTACACAATAAAAATTTCAGTTTCTATTATATATTTATGTCTTTTGAAGTTGGTATTTGCAGATGATTCAGTATTTTATTTCGGACTGATGCGGTGCATGTGGCACACTTCTATTTTCAGGAAGTGAAAATAGCAAACAGAGAAGCTGAGATGATATTTAAAATTCTTAGAAATAGAAACAAGATACTCTTTTTTAGGAAGTATAAATCCAGCTGAATACAATCCCGAAAACAGGAATGCTCGCGAAAGCATTTCTGGATGACCTTCAAAAAAGAAAATTTGGTTTGTAATTGCCAACTATAAATAGAAAGACAATGAATATATGTTGTGAAAAAATAGGATTTTCCGCGGAACTTCACGTAAATTGCAATGAGAACTAGCCGTATTAAGTGAAGCAAAATCGAAAAATACACAAAGATGGGAATGGCATGTAATGGAAGATAAATTATGTGAAATTATGAACAAAGAAAGGCCACAAAATTAGGAAATGAGATGAAATGAGTGACCCGCAATGAAAGAAATCAGAAGGAAGGGAGATGTGTTACAAATTTTTGCAGAAGACAAGTCATCCCAACACCCTGGAACCTTCAGAATGTGCAAAGGATATTGGCACATTAAGCAATTCCGCCGACATTTCCTTATTTATTGAGTTGAGTTGTAGTATACAGGAAGTATACCTGTTATCAAGTAAAGGTGCAAGGATAAAAAAGCCGAATTGAAAGGTGGTAAAAGGAAATTAGAGAAGGTGTTGGACTTCAAGGGAAAGAAGGTAAAAGAGAAAGATAAAAAATGTAATAATACCGAGTTATTCTTGACGACTTCCTTGACCAGCACTTGAACTGCAGCAATACGCGAGTCGGGATGAAGCTTCGTTGGTTTCCGAAGATATATGTTGAGTACAGCAGATAGCAACAGCTTCGACATCAGCTCATCGGAAAACTTAAAGTGTGCAAGAACTTGATTCGGGTTTAAGTTGAAACGTGCTGGTGTCCGTTCGGCCAATATGATCGTTCGCTCTGCTTTGCGCTCAGGTATCATCAATTCGTCGGCCAGAAATGATGTATGCACAGGAGAGGTTGCTGAGTCATGTCGCAACTGGTACTTCAAATACTTGGCAACCTGTGGAATTGTTGGGAAACCATCCTGTGGTCGTACTTGTGGTGGTGCATCCAAACCGAGCTTTTCCAGAATTTCACGTTTAATTATTTCCAAGCGTATCTTAGCCAATTCATCCCTCGCCTCTGAACAACCGTGACAACTGTGATTGCTATGATAATGCCAAGCGGTAGTTCCATGTGTCGATGGGCTACAGAAGCTCAGTGCTAGGAATATCGAGTGTATCGATGCAGCAAGCAACGTCATTCTTCGAATTGCCCCTCCCGTAACTGCTGGAATGCCTGAACGGGTCGACACCCGGCAACTGGTAGTACGTATTATCAGGTATTCGGCCGAACCACCAGCACCGAAACCCTACCAACGTATTGCCTACTATATGTGTGAATGATTTGTTGAAGATAATGATAGTGCTGATGGTGGCGATGCTGATACTGGTGGTGGTGGTGGTGATACTGGTGATGCTGGTGGGGGTGTTGGTGTGGCGTGGCTCAAAGGGTGTTGCTCTTGCTCCCTCTGCCTTCCTTCTTCCTTCGATGTTGTTCGGTCAGTTCGGCAACTCCGCCTTTCCAATCCGACTGTGCTCCACGTTTGGTTCTCACTTCACTCTTTCCAATAATTTATTAAATCAACAATAGGCTGCATATTATCATGATATCACATTTGCACTCATAAATCTATCTAACACACCTAAAAAGTCAACAAATGATTGTGATGGAAATTGGTTTCACAACAATAATAATAGTAATGAAGTAGAAAAATGTAAACCGCTTTGAGCATACACACTGAATGTAATTAAACTACAGCCGAAGTTTCCGGAGAGCCGATAGATTTATTGAGTCAATAATCCCGCCAAGAATTCCAGTCCACTACAGCTAATTTAAAATTGTCAAGAATCGAACGGAAAAAAGTTAGTCAACAAATATTCGTGTAAGATTAGGGAGTACTGTTGAAGCATGTGAATTTTCTATTCACTAATCTCGAGAATATTGTCAGTCATATCCGCGAAACTTTATGGTTTGAATATTCTTAATAAGAAGTAAACATTACTATTAATATGCAATACTAGAACAGTCAAAAAAAACGACTCTGATCTTCTTTATCGACTATCATTCCCTCTATCTTGGACCAAGTGAGCCCTACCAAGAAACACCAGTAACAAAGCCAAAGATATATCACCATTATCTCATCATCATCAGCAGCAGTTGCAGTAGCATCAATCCGAACCAAACTAATTGTCACATTTCACATCTTTGCTAGAGGCTGAAAAGAGCAACATTCTCATTCATTACAACCATACAGCTATGCAAATATCATCACCCAATTCATCCCTTCATTATTCATTTGTTTCACAATCGGACGCTATTTTGGCAACCGATATACGGACAAAAATTCTGCTACTAATTATAAACCAAGAATAAAACAAAATGCACCTCCCTCATAACTCAAATAGAGCAATAGCTCTTTCCGATCTTTAACAAATAACTACGACATTTTTTTGCAGCGGAAGAAGTATTTTTCAGAAAATAAATTTTTTTTTAACTCATAAAAGCTTTGAAAAGAAAAGATAATGCTTTCGACAAAAGTTTAATACTCTTAAAAGCGAATATGTCTAGACACTGATTACTACAAATTTCTTGAAATTATTTTAGAAAGAAAAGCGAAACAAATCAATTGACCAATATAAATATGGCATCAGGAATTGAAAGAGAAGTAATTTCGTCCAATGTAGTTGAATTAAATATCGAACTTCGAATCGTAAGTTTCGGGAAGGGTAAACGACCAGCACAAAGAGCCATCACTGACACTTTATATTCATATATTTCCGACGGTAGTAAGCGGATATCGATCTGAAAAAGGTGAGAAAAAAATTATTTCCCCGATATGTGTAAAAAGTAACAAAATTACGTGTAAAATGTAACAAAATTATTTCCGGGACATACATAAAAAATAAACATATGCTCCAATAAGCAAAAATAGGATTTTAATCGAAATATATGAGAATACACACAGTACACTTGCTCTAGAAAATATGAAATGGAAACTATAAAGAGCAAGAAGTATGATCATGTAAACCAGATGTTTCACTCACACTAGCAGTATCATCTATATATATTACATGAAGTTCATTTTTCTCAATTTTCATCTTAACCATAATTAATGTTAGCTGCTTTAACTCAGAAAAAGCCAATGACATCATTCAATATACAACTGAAGCAAGGCTGGATCGGCAGAACTACTTGACCCGTGTTCATTATACTCGTTAGGTAAACTGTCATAGAATCCTCTACTGTAACTACTAGAGAAACAAATAGCGAGTTTATTTAAAGACCTAAACTCAGTGTAGAATATTATGATCAGAATACTGATAAGATTGAGATGGTGCCATAATTACATTGTTAAAATAACCGTGAGGTACTGCATCTACCCATTTTTTACCCGTCCAGATCACTATCTATTCCTTTACCTCATCATAAATAGTTTCGTAATTTAAATAGCTGAAAACGCATTTATCAGTGTTTTCCGCTGCTTGGCGAGAAGTGTAAACGTAGAATATCAAGCATTTATAAAACTTAAGCGTCTTGTAAGAAATCCATTAATTCAGAAAAAGAAAATGGTGGTGAAAAATAACCGAGATAAGCGGATGGATAACCAATCGTCAATTCTAGAAACGTTGAAATGCATCTTCGGAGAATAAATCTTATATCACTCTATTGTCTTTTCTCTATCGCTCTGCTACTACTTCCGGAATCCTGCTATTTCTGATGTCCTGTTAACACTTCTGTTATCTATCGCCTCTCAAATCGTCCCTCGCTGTTCATCAGTTATCAGCGAATGATAACAGTCATGGCTACAAAAGTTTCATTTGCAAAGACGGCACCGAATGCACATAATCAATTATTTGCAGAACGATTAATATAGGAGAAGTGATTCGAATAATGTTGTAGTTATAAATGAAGAGGATCATTTTATCTTTCTGTTAGATAGAAAATCGCGCTTAAGGTGATCCCATCTGAGCCACGTAATTTCTGATTAATATTATTGCGAAAAAAAGGTGTCAGAAGCTGCATTTTTGACTTCTATGATTAACTGTAAGAGGTAATGATATGTGTTATATTCTAAAAATGAAGAAGAATGAAACTCAGACGGCATCATGTCAAGGAACAGAACAAGTAGGGAATAATAACTACGAGTATAATAAAAACCCTAATATATCTTCTTTATAACCTTTGCTCGCCTTTTTTTGCTCTTTCATCTTAATGTTATCTTACTGATAGCAGAATGGTATAGTAGTAGTAGTAGTAATATGGTGATAGTGATGATAAGACGGAATGAAAAGAAACGGAAGAAAGAACTATGTCCGGTCTAGTCCAATTCATTTCAATTTCGTCATCTTTCAAGAATTACTACTACTTTCAAACATCAATCATTCTTCTATGAGAATTGCTTACTAACGGAGTTGGCGATGCTGTAATAAAAATTTAAAAACCAAACAAGAAAGAAAAAAAAAAATTAACTTTTAGCCAAAAGAAATGATTCCGTTTTGGTTAAGGGGAAATCGAGTACACCAATATTTTTGGCAACTATTTTTATTTCAAAGTATTGAAAAGAGGTATGGATGACCGAATGGAATGCTACTGAAGAGATGACACATAAGGTGCACCAATGAACATTTCATTTGTGTGTGATGTATTTTCTTGAAATTATTCCCTTCTTTTCTTTTTTCGTTTATGGCTGAATTGATGTCAACATATTTTAAATGATGGAAGACGTTCTTTCATCTTCCTCCCCCTGTCCTCCTTACTGCAACATTTTATGGTTGATTGATCGAAAAAATTAGTCAATTTGAAAGAACATCAGTTTACTCACTTTTTTAACATGTATCTTTAGCAAAATCTTTGAAAAATTGATTGCTGATATGGGACATTCTTTTTATCAAAATAGTAATTGAACCGATAACTCAAAATTCAGTCCCATTTTAAAATTATTCTTTAAATGACACAATCAGGAAAAAACGATATTGATCGGCTTTAAGAAAGCTTCTACTGATTAAAGATCACTGCTTTTCAGCAACAGATGGAACGAATGTACGTGTGTTAAGAAACGAGAACAAAATTTAAATCGGAACAAGCACTATTATTCTATCCAACAAAAATGTGAACACTGATTTTCAATCAGCCATTCTAATATCTGCTCAAAAAGAATTTAAATAGATAACAGGTGTTTGAAAAAATGAACATCTACGATAACAGTACAATGTTTAATGATAACAAAAAGGCATAAAATACCAAGTTACAAAAGATTTAGTTTACTATTTGATTTTAATTAACAATAACACATTGCAAGGCGAAAGGGGAAAAATATCTCCGAATTTTAGTAATTCCAAATCAGTACACATTTTACATGTAAATGATCATAAGGTAATAAATTCAACAAATCTAGCTCCAAATTTCAGATGATCCCTTCACTGGAAATAATGAAAAGCCTACAGTTGGATTAGTAAAAGAAAATATTTTCCGAAAAGGGTAAACTTTCCATAGATTTCTCTAATTCTAGCTGATCGTAATTAGGATAGATACCCAGTGCAGTGATAGTACATCTTACGATATCATCTATACAATCTCGTTAGAAAGCTAAATTCGAAGAAAAAAACGAAATAAATCAAACCAATCAAATCGAAAAATGAATAAAAATAAAACGGAATGTTGTGACGCAATCTATTTTACTGTTCTTTAACCTCACTCTTTAAGATACAGTATCTTCATCGTCCAATTGACAGAATTTGGTCTAAGTGAAATAAAAAACTTCAAATTTTCTGCTTTCTAGATGTTTTATCCATTTTTTCAACAATTACTTCTCAGCAACTAAGCAGAGTTCCTTATCAGTTTGTAGGAAATGTGTATTTACATCAGTGCATGCATTTGCGTGAGTTTATACGTATGTGTGCCAAAAGCAAGGTTTCACGCATGCGATCATTTCAACAAATAATGAAGTGATAAGAAACGCATAGGACGATATAAAAACTAAGCAATTTTGCGTTCAATTTTTCCTTTTAAAATTAAGCAACAAAAAATGACACTAATTGCTGTTTAAGCTCTATGGCATACAATGTTAAAAATAGATCTTGAATAAGGGGTAATTACAAGAATATTCTTATATTTATGATTCAATTCATAAATATACATTACCGTGGGGGCAAAATTCGGTTTATGGAATAGAACCATTTTAAAAAGCTAACAAAAGATTCTAAATTTTAGAAAAGCGAATTAATTAAATGAATTGTAAGAAAAGGTCTAGGTAAAGCCACAAACTGAGAACTGAAATAAAAATGTCACGAGCAATACCGAGTTAAAGAACTTATAAAATAGAATTTATAATAAAGACTAGATTTGAAACACGCCTAGATGAATACTGATCATTTAGAAAACTTAAACAATCACAATGGAAAAATCTCAATATTAAGTCATGCCAATGAGAAAAAATACAGGGTACTGATCAGCACTTCTCCCTATAAGTTCTACCATTCTTCTAGAAAATATGAAGGTATGACTGTAATCCTGCAATACTGCTGCATTTTTTTGTGTTAAACATTATTGGCTCTTTTGACTACCATTATACAACTTCAATCAGTTATCAGCTTCGTCATATAGTTCAATTAGTTATGTTAGCTATACTATTCTAATATTCTGTTTCTCCAGGACTTCAAATTACCAAAAATTCTGTAAAGATGGTCACAGTAAAAATGATTTGGAAAATGTTAAAATATCGATGTGAAGAAAATAGTAATCTAACAACCTTTTTATTACCAGCGAACACGAACATATCCGCCGGTTCTAACGTCAGCTGCAGATCGATCATTTTGTTATACAAATTGCGAATTGTAAAAACAATTGGAATTGCTGTTCGTACGATAAGATAAGAAGTTCCAGGTTGCGCTTCAACTGATAACGGAGAATTTTTGACAAGAATAGATCCAATGCTAAGTTGAGATAAAACCCATCCTTCCAATAAATTATTCCTATAATATGATTCGTCTAAATTAAGTTGGAAACAGATGGATATTTCAAAAGCAAATTTTACACTACTAACTCCACAAATTCTTTATAACAGTGCGGATGATCAGACAAATTAAATAATTTTAATAAATTTAAAGTTAACCTTCTCCAACGTATATATATTTCACCTAAATTACATCGTTTTTCTGCTTTCATCGGAAACCGCACAGGTGAGCAAACAGTTATTATATCGCTCTTAAGGCAACAAATTTCATCTGTAATATCTGGATTAGTTTGGCAATATTTTGTAACATAAGAGAACATAAGTTTACTACTTACCTTTCAGCAAAATCTTATCGTCTTTATCAACTTCCATTTCAGTACCCTAAAAGTAATAATATACATGACGAACTCTATCATAATATCAAGTTTCAAAAGTACATCTAGTTTTAATCTTACCACGTTTTTAAAACCATTATGAGCTCACGCAGGTACGGTTGAATACCTGATTGTAGTTTGATATAAAGATATTAATTTTAATTATAAGAAAAATATGCATGTTGATGAAGTTTCAGACATTATAGATCAAGTGCTGGCTTTATGTGAAACTTACTAACTCCATTAAAAAATTTTAAATGTTGCTGAGATTTTTAAAATGATTAGAAATATAATTCAAGGGTTGAATTCTGCGAAGAAGAAGTAAAGCAGCATATTTTCTTCCTTCCAAGAAACAATATCAACTATTATTTATTTTACAAATTTAGTAACTTTCTCGTAATCCACAGAATATCTTAGTTAATACTATTATTCCTTTATTCCCACTGTTTACCATATTGATCTACTGCGGTATACGAAACGTTTTATTTCATGGCATTCTAACTACTAAAGTTCGCTTCTCAAGAATTTATCACTTTGAGAATTATGATATAATTTAATAAATCATGCTACAAATTCAGTGTTTGATTAACAGGATAAAATACTTAACAATGATACAAATAAAATGCCAACTTACTGGTCTCCATGATATATCCGAAACAACTACGTGAGCGACTGCTGTTATATCTATCCGAATAAAAAAATTGGTTTCTGCAAGTGGATTTTCGACAATATCATTCTGAAAAGAGAAAGATATATAAAAGTTAATCTTTAAGAGAAAGGAAATAATAAATGTAAGACAAAAAAAATATCGCAATTACTTACGCTTACTTCACCGTTATGTCCATAACGTAGCATCATACCTTAATGATATGAGCAGTCAGATGAGCAATTCATATTGCGTTTGAATTCGTTCCAACAGTTAAAGTTACGCCAATGAAAATAAACACTAACGTTTATAGCCAGTATTTTACTATTGATATCGAATGGTGGTCGTGACCGCAAAGATATTAAAAAACGTTTCTGTACCGTTATGTCGTCAAGCTGTACAGAGACCTATAACAATTCAATGTAAAAGATTATTTTATAAATACTTACTCAGATAAACAATTCAGTCAAGTGAGACATCTAAAAACATACTATCACCGACATATTTGTCGCATAAGTAGTCTGACTGCAGTATCTTATATTCAGCTGGACCTGCAAAACCGCTCTTTATGAACTTTTAACATCCAAATATAAATTCAGCTAAAACGCAGCTTATTAATCTTCGAAATTTTCAAGGCATGAAGTAGTCACACACCATTTAACATAGAAATATTTACGTGACTGAACCGATTCAAAATGAGTACGAAATATTAATAAAATGAACTTTCACCTTGAATGGTGGAATTTGAGAGCTTTTGTATTCTAAAATTTTTGTACCATTTGGAACAAACTGATTTTCTTCGTTGACGAAAACCAAAGTTCCAACCATCTCCTCCTTCGCATCCAAGGACCAATCCAGTCTGAATTGAATTTTTCAATTCATTTGATTAGAAAACTTCATCAAGAATGAGAGTAGACATACCTAATACGTTGTATCGGACTGTTTTCCTCACAAATAAACAACAGTGGCATTGTAGCAATTTCACCAAGCAGTGCTTCACTTTGATCAGTTCCTTCAAGGCGAAAATAAGCTTCACGTGGTTCAATTCTAACAAAAAAGGATTTATTAGAATAAAATAGTTGGTAATGGAAACAAATATGAAAATGTAAAATTAATAGAAGAGCAAAATCTGGAAGAGAAATGTCAAACTTACTTAAGTGTTGTTTGACCGACACATGCATCTAATATGGAATTCATGCAGGAATTATCATAAGTACCATACGACAACGACTGAGCATCCCAGTCTAATGTGCCATAAACAAACGAATGTACGGAACCCATTTCTAAGCATAATCCGTTCACCTTGAAAGAAAGTTGTGTTCTATCTATCTATATACATAATAAATTGAAATTCTATACCATGTGTCCAACTCTAAGTTGAAAATTTTTTGACTTCTACAAGAATAAGTAAGAATGAAAATAAATAAAGCCGAATAGAAATACTGAAAAGAATTATTACCATAAGTTGCCTGGCAGTAGCACAACAAGAATGAGGTAATGACATCTTGTACATTTTAACAGTTTCCTTTCTTGAACTAATTTCGACATTTTTCTCAATAAATTCATATAGTGGCAACTGTCCAGCTTCGTTACTGCCATCACTGACAGTAATTTTCATTTTTTCAAAAAAGACGGTTTTAGTGCAGTATGACGAAAGGGCGACCTAAATGACGGTTCGTTACAACTTACAAATGCTTAGGTAATGACATGTAGATATTATCGATAATCGATATCGTCCAGTCCTTCAGCATAATACATTTTTCAATTAAAGCTTAGCGCATGTTGCAAATGATAACATCTGAGTTTTCCAAAACTGTCCCATGATATAAGTTACCAAAACATTATCTATTCGCTCATCATTAAATACTAGCTAAAAATATTGGCAAAAGCAAAAGTATTATAAATTTTTAAATAAATATCGGATCAAAAAACTAAAAGAAAACGGTCACCAGTCTTTATCAAATTAGACAAAATTACCATAAGAAAAATTAATGAGTCGGCATGAACAGTTTCCATATGATTATTAAGAAACGCAACTCGAGCACGAATAAACGCATCAATACGAGGCGCACTTATCGAAAAAAATACACGCTCAGCAAGTGCTGCCTTCCAAAGATGTTGACATGCTTCTACCTTCAAAGCTGATTAAAATATTTAAAAATTTATAGTTTTATCCTAACTAATCTAAATCCACCCACCTATTTTTATTTTAGTTCTGATTTTTATTTAAAATCGCTCAAAATGAGTACTTTCAGAAAGTTAAAATTATATCATTCATTTGAATAAGTCAAATATATTAAAGTCTAATGAAATGTAAAAAAAAACGAACTTCATCCAAAGACATATTAGCTTGTGGGATAGATATACGCGGTGGAAAGCCCTGACGAATCAGTTCAATATTTGCCATAATTTGTTCCACAAGAGGAGCAAATGTCGGGAATGTGCGTAAGTTAAGCATTTGCATGCTAAGCATCATAAATTCCTTCACATCCGCCATTCGAAATGCACAGACAAGGGCACGCAGAAGAAGCATCGTAATTGGTTGTATAAAACCTTCCCGTCGACATTCCCAAATTAAATGTGATGCAAACTAAAATCAGAGGCGATCAAAAATTTGAAAACATGAGCAAAACTGTCATAGAGACTACTTAATTACCTGCAAAGCTTTGACATATTGACCCGTTATGAAATATTCATCTGACAACAAAAGCATCATATAACGTTGCATTCGTAAACACTTATATTTTTTGAACTGTGACATTGCAGACGAGAGCAGAACAATGCATCGATCGTGATTTGGAGTACATCGTAACTGAAGATAATATTTTATTCTTTCTTCCAAATTACTGAAATTACTAATGTCTTCAATCATAAGGTCATGTGTCATGGTCAAAACATTGAAAAAGCAAATTAATTGAACCTAAATAATTTAAAGCTGAACTTAAATTACTAGAAGAATTCATAATATTGACCTCAAGTGCGACAAGGGCATTCTTTTCAGTTTCTGGATCCGACAGACCGCCATTTTCTGCAGCTGCTCTCCATGGCCTCTGACCATAAAAAGTATCTGCAGCTGGTAGCAAAGGATCAGGGCTTGGGTAAACAAATCCAGTTAACTGTGATGAAACATTTAAAGTGGTAATAGCTTCGTTCGCTTGCCGATAATAGTAAGCTGCTGCTTGAAGATACATTCCAGGATGTTGAGTCGACACAGCAACCAAACCATTCATAACGGCTCGTTCAAATAAATTCGCAAATAATGAACACTAAAATAAACATGATGCATATGATATAAAAAAATGTTTAAAATATAAAATCACCTGTTTATATGAAAGCTAAAAATCACATTGGAATCCAAAAATATAGAGGAAAACCTGTTTGCCTTTCCATAATAAATGTTCAATTGATGCAGTAGCTGGGGATGGATACGAACCCGGTGGTAAGCAGAAAAATACGTTATTATGCCGCCGTTGCTGTGCTAATGCTTCGAAAGCTGCACTATGAAAAAACAACAGTTGACATATCTGGAATTGACAAATCTATCATTTAAAATGTTCTTTAAAATTTCTCGAACAATAGCCTGTTTGAAAACCTTTTCGTTATGGCCAACAGAAAAGTTTCCAAAGCAATCGTTTTAGGTCCCGTTGAATATTTTATCAAAAGCTATAAAGCACAGAAACGAAAAAAACAAAATTTACCTTGTAATTCAGAAGTCCAGCCACAGCTCGTAATTCAAATATTTGACTATCAACGGTTTCGCATTCGGTACAATGTTGATATGCTAGCTTATAATGTCTAAAAACAAAATTAAAAGAAAAAGACCTAACACCATCCACAGCAACATTCTCTGCCGAAATAAAGATGAAAGGCAAATTACAAACAAAGAAAGAAAAAGCATATGTGAAAGGAAAAAGTCTAAAGAAAAATGTGACTAAGAAAAGATGATGATTTTTCAATTCGTTTTTGATAAAACAAGTCCAGATATTGTTTACCATTTCTGATAAAGGAATAATCATTTACTACAGCATTTCGAATACTGCGAATTAAAACCATATGAAAACAAAACATATTTCTTAAGTCAAGCAATTGTCTGGGATTAATCAGTGATAAGAATCCGATTTATTTGCCTTCTCTAACTGACAGATTTCCAAAACCCAAATTTATCCTTCTCCAATCATAGCATCAAAATTTCTATTACAGATTCTGGACATTGCAAATTTCATAAATGAAGCATTGACATTTTAAATAGAGATATTGAGCAATTTACTAAACAGTTATTTTAAACAAAAATTTCTTTCAAGCCAAAACATCTGAAACCAATCAATGAGCTAAAAATTCAACTTATAAAGCAAACAAAAAAAACTTGATCGAATGAAGTGATCCATTCATATGTTTGTGTAGTGAAATATGCTATAAATGAAAAATATGGTGAAATGATAGTTGTGAGTCACAACAGAGAGATAAAACCAAAGATATTTGGGGTATTTGATTATTGGAGAATTGTGAATCTCAAAAAAATCTATTCATGGGAAAAAGTGACAGGAATTAGCAATAAAAAAGGTAGATAACCTGAGTGCTGTGTGCGTGTCCTGTCGTAATTCCGAGAGGAATGCTAGTTTAAACTGTTGACGAATTATAAGATTCGAAAAATTATTTGGTATCGATCGAGCACGGATTGATTTCAGACATTGCTGATAGAATGCTTGCGCTAATTCATGAAATGCGGTTTCAAGCCTACAAAAAGTGGACCATACTATAGTTTGGCAGGAAACCGTCTCCAACAAATTGAAACTATTTTTCTTGCTAAAAAAATAACAAAATAAAAGCAATATCAAGCCACACTCTCAAATATTTATATTTAGAAAGTAAAAGTAAAAACTAATCTGACCCAAACTTAAGACATTCAGATGATATAAGATCAAAAAAATTACTATAGAGAAAGAAAATAAACAAACAAAATAAAACCTTAAAACCGATGAAAACATTCGTTCGCCTATGGGTAAAACAAACAACTGTTTTGTTGGAAGCTGACATAGTTGGCATAGTTTGGCTGTTCTTTCGATAGCTAGTGAACTGTCCACCTGAGTTTGCTGTAGCAACACAATACAAATCCGAGTTGCATGATTTCCTAGGCTCGTCCTACAGTACATTTCAGTTATACAATAATATATAATCAGATGCCTCGAATTTCAAGCAAAAAATTAAATCCGCCTCCTTCTTAACTGTAACTTTTTTATATAAGGACTGGTGAATTCTCAGATGAAAGGCGCATTTATCTGAGAATGTAAAAGGAATGAGGTTTGAAAATCTTTCAACTAAATTCATACAGTAAAGTCAATATTACCTAAGTGAGGAAATCTTCGATTCGCATTCTGTGGCCTTTTCATTCCAAGACGGATGATCCCAATTCAAATCAGCAAAGAGTACAATAACGGATGGCAACTCACTGACGTATTTCTTGAACCAATTTACTCTAATAAATCCACGCGAAAAATCCGATACCTAAAATGTTTACAGTTCTTATTCCCACGGTCTTAAATGGAATTTCTATTCTCTTTTGGAATTTCGAATTTCCATTTTCTAAATCCATTTTCTATTCTCTTTCGATTCTCTCACTGTTTCAAACTCATTTTCATTTCCCGTTTCTTTCTAATTTCACTACTAATTTCGTTACACCATCCTAAATCATACCGTTTGTTGGTGCACTCTCGACTCACAGAACGTCCGTGTACCATTTAGCATAACAAAATTAATTGGCGGACGATCCACCTCCCGATTTACGGTAAAGGCTGAGAAGACGGCAGCATGAGATCTGTTATTGACAACATCCAGTCCTGTCAAGAACATTAGTTGATTTTGTCGATTGGCAACCAATACTTCCGGAATATCATCACTATCCATCCTTATCACTAAAATACATTGACAGGGTATAACGACGTCACTGACATAACTAGCCTACTCGGTTTAGCAAATAGCAAATAGCAGAGTAATGCAATGCAATACGAGATCAAGCACACTTATTTCCACACCTTCCCAATCCTAAAAAGCAAAAAAGGATGCGTTCATTTGCAGCTATCTATTAAGTACGGAATATGTATAGGGAATATTGTACGGAATATTGCGGAACGGGTAGATACGTACAATTATTTGCCATGAATGGACGCAACAATAACAATATTTCAACTTTATTCCAAGGAAAACATAATGTTACAACAGTATAAAAGAAATACAACAGAATATGAAGAAACACTGATTATGATTACTTCTTTTTCTTTTCGCTGTCATCAATTCAACTGAAACAAATTTCCCTCATTAAGTAGTTTGAAAAATGTTTCGTTCACAAAGAAGATACAAGTGATTGGAAACATAAAGATATGGTTCCTCACTCCCTACCTTCCTGAATCCAATATCGGATGCATATTCTCTGAAACATCGCCGACACATATTAAGTCCGTATTTTCTTATTAATCCATGATGATTCGAACAAACTCGGCTAAAAATATAATTTTCTTACTCCGCAATGCTAAAACGACATTTGCAAACAATGTTTAGGTATTATGAAGAGATAATTTCCGATGCGAAAACAGTTAAAACAATTCAGAATGTGGCAATAGAATTAGATGATAACCGACCATGAGCGAGAACCTGGACCATACTTGCGCGGATGGGAAAACCATAAATTTTGATGACCCATCTTGATTTCTATTGCTGCGTATGAATTCAGACTGTGGTGCCAAAAATAGCCTCTAAAATTATGGAAAAATACTGAAGCACAAGCTATAAATACAAGCCCTGCACGATGTATATCATATGCCTCATACGTCGAAATATTTTTCAACTATTAGGTTATTTTAATCGTTAGAAACTTTCATCTCATAGTACTTAACATATATTAAAGTCACCGTCACAATCTCGAAGTTATAAATAGACATTGGTGACACCACGTCAGAAACTGACATCTTCAATGCAGTCCCTAAAATATGGTGAACGTCTACCATCGTTCGTGAAGATGACTCTAACACTGACATATATTAAAACCTACAGTCAGAAAATCCCCAACACGCACAACCGAACCAACCACCAAAAAGCACGCAAAATCACGTCCGGGAAGTAACGCTATGCAATTCACATCCCTGATCGATCAATTAGCCGAAGTCACGATCTCTCATCCACTAACACGAGTTGGTGTCAGGTCCGGAAGCTTTTTTTCACATTCACTCTAAGAGACAACTAAGCTTTTAGTCCGATTTTAAATTGGTTTGGTGCAAGCTAACTGAATGAACCGTTCCTCAGCATTCTAAAATGATAGAAATCAAGATCAAGGATATTTTTGCAGTGCAATTCTAGGCAATTCCGGAAATCATGGACTTCAACGCAAGAAATTTAAAATTCCTCTTTTAAACAAAGTAGGACCAATTACCAGCAGACTTGTGAGGATTCACCTTCTTAAATTTAACTTGCTGGACAAAGTGTTAAATTTGTATTATTGAAGAAAAACGACTCGCGCCTGGAATACTGAATGGGGTTTCGGAGGTGGCATGATGTCATGCATCTTTGAAGACAAGAAGACAGTTTTTGTTCCGCTTTTTCTTGCAAGGCGACAAAAAAAATCTTCTGGTTTAATTGAAATAGCTAGGATTTTCCTGATTAAATGAGATATAGCATACCAGAAAACTATCTTAACATTTAGGACCTTCCATCTGTTGATAATTCTAAGCCTTTGCTCAATTGCCATAGAAGATACAATACCACTAAATTCAGGAGTAAATTGAAAATCATTTGTTAAAGAAACTCAAAAGAAAAAAATCCAAGAAAAAAAGTTTTTCAACTTTGAATTAAATAGTTTAATAGAAGATCCATATTACAAACGTAATTTGATATATAGTAAATAGCACCACTGTTTACAACTTCAATAACGGCATAGACTACCACTCACCCAATCCGCATCTGATATGGTTAGATTGCAGAATGTGATATATTAGTTTCTTATCAAAATGAGTAGGTACTCAGCAAAGGAATGAATTCTGGCAAAAATGGAATTCAAATAAGCTCACAAATAAGTTTAATCTATATAATCACATGTGGCAATGTTATTCCGCCAACTTGTACATAATAGTTGTCAAATTCATAAGATGTCAAAATTAAAAATAAGGCAATATTATTCGACAAGCAATCGACATTGCATTGCATTACATACGTCATTTCATCTATTCCTTTCGCTAATGAAAACATTAGTCGGCAAAAATGTTTTTTCCATGCGATCAGCACGTTAAACGGAATTTCTGTAACAGTTTATTTGTCGATCGGTTGTTTCTCTTTTCTCAATTTTTCGAAATCCTTTAGCTTTATTGTTTGAAGTGCCAAAGCTTGCAGTGTTTGCGAATTAGCAGATGTTATCTGAAAAAGACTATCTTTGCAAATCAGGGAAAGAATATAGCTTACGATCAACTTATTTGAGTAAATCTACTTGAATTTACTCACCTTAACGGCAACATAATCACCAGGTTTTAACTCCACTAATCTCGAACCATCATCATAATATTTGTAAATAATTACACTAACTCCGCCATCAATTCGACCTCGCAAATGTTCAGAAGAACGCTTGCTTGCCTAAAAATGATAAAATTTTGATACAAAATTCATAAACATTTTGTAAAAAATTTTCAAATCACATTTTCCTACTTGGTAGAAAAATAGGCTCTGAAGTGGATCATAAAGAGCTACTAGTACCTGAAACATTTCCAAGAATACTGAATGAGAAATAAAATCAAAAATATCTTAAAATCTGAGAGAAAAACAAAAGCAGTTCGGTGGTAACATTGTTTGCAGCAAAATCCATGAAGTATTAGCTTCATTACCCCATGGATTTTTGGGTTTTTTTTCTGATCGACTGAACAAACAAGATATTTACACAAAACAATAAACTAAGCTTCAAAACATATAAAAACCAATATGTTATTATCATGAATATTAAAACTGGGATCAACCTATTCTGCCAATTTTTTTGTCAGCACTAAACTGCCATAGATAAAGCATACCTCCTCTAAAAGCACCAACTGTTTGCTTCCAATGAGAGCCTCGTTGTGTTTTAATGCTGTTTCCCTAAAAACGCTCGCCAGTTGCTGATGGCGTCTATTTTTCACTTCCTTTGGTACATTATCCTTCAGATGTCGATATGCTCTGGTTTTCTATAATGTAACTACCATTTATGTGCTTTCATTCTATCTCTATTCTGTATTGAACTAGAAACGATTCACGAAAAAGTATCGAATCTAATCTTGAAAAGACCGCTTACCTCCCTTTGACTATATGGAAAAACATAGCAAAAAGAATAAACGACATGTCTGATCAAGTTCAGAGATTCCTGATGGAATTCCTCGGTTTCACCACAGAATCCAGCAATGAAATCACTAGTGAGCGATACGTCTAAATATTACAATTAAATGATATGTAAAAGACTTCGAACCAGAATGAAAAATAGGGTTACTTAAATTTTCAGTGGAATGCCATTACTTGGTATGATAGTTTTAATGCGATCGACCAGTTCTAAATAACTTTCTCTACTGTAGCCACGATCCATCGCTTCCAATATAGCATTGCTACCACTTTGTGCCGGCAAATGGATTTGTTTGCATATATTTGAACGTTCTTTTATCAAATTTATTACCTGTAAAATCCCAAATTAAATGTAAAATCAAATAGTAGATTTAAAAATACTAAAGCTTTAAACAAAATAAAAAAGCTCATCTCATTTTCCACCAATACCATCTACTTATGAAAAATTAGGAAAATAAAAAATAAAATACCTCAAAAGGAAAATCTTTAGGATGTGGTGAAGTGAAACGTATCCTCATTTCCGGATCAATTCGCGATACTTTATCCAGGAGAGTGAGAAAAGTATATCCGCCTTTCTTTGGTTTATATTTGGTGCGAAATCCAGGAGCCATACCAGGTTCTGTTAAACATGTAGAAGGAAATGAGATTTCCGACAGGTCTCGATAACTATTAACGTTCTGTCCAAGCAGCGTCACCTGCTTTACACCCTACAAAACAAAACGTATCATGTTTAACTAAACAAAATCAGGAAACTTCAAAAAAAAAATATCGCGAACGGTTCGAGCATATAACAGTTACCTGATCAGATAAGCTTCTGATTTCATCAAGTATGGAATTCATCGGACGACTCCTCTCCCGTCCTCTCGTATATGGCACAACACAGTACGTACACATGTTATCACAACCGCGCATTATTGATCTATAATAAAACATGCGAGCGAGAGCGAATAAAACAAACAGTAAGCAATTTACTTCCGATATCATTTGAAAAACTGCAAAAGCATTATTACATCAAGCATCCAATTACACTGCTCTTATATACAGCTGATGAGTGTGACAGATTAAAAACAATACATGTAAACAAAAACAAACACAAAAGCTGTTTTGGAAAACTTGTCCTTTCGAACTGGGACAATATCAGCATAAGTTTCCTCTAACGATAGTTGTACATTTATCGCCATACTTCCACAGCGAGCAATTGCCAAAAGCCGAGGCAAATCGCGATATGAATCGGGTCCAGCTACCACATCAACATTTTCAGTGCATGTCAATAAATTATGCCTTTCTCGTTCTGCCATGCAACCTAAAAGTTGCAGAAGTTTTAGTATTGTTGTCTTACTTTGCTTACACAGATATCAATAATTATGGTTCAATGACATAACTAACGGATATTTGCAATGTATAGAAAAGATTGTTAACGGAGAGAGAAATCAAGATAGATAGCAAACTTTTTTGTTTGACATCATTCTTAATTTCTGCCTTCGATAACAGTCTGCCTTTAGTAATGAATATTTTTGGATTATATGATTGATTCTAAGAATACTTATAAGTCATAAAAATATATAGCTGAACTGCAACATTTAGAAACGACATATCTGAAAGATAATAGAGGATAGTATTACAGTAAGAACACTAGAACTATTCGGTCGTCAGTTTCGTTATAGTACTGCATAATAACAATTATAAGGTTCTTGCAATAGATATAAATTAACAACTCTCTGAATAAAGCAGTTATATCACTTATGAGAAAATGTTAAGAAAATCAACTATATAAAGACACCTAAAACTCCAATAACACCATTTTTGCGACGTATTTTTCTTAATACTTTCAGCTCGTCCCACACCTTATTTTCAGCACCTTCACGTATTGAACATGTCATCAATAATACGATGTCAGCCTAAATAGTAATAATATACATCAATAAACTCAATAACATAAATATTACAAGTAAAATACATGCAAAGTAAGCAAAGGAAGTTACATTAACCTCTTTGACGTCATCTGTTTCTACATAACCTGTTGAGAGCAACAATGAACGTACCAATTCCACATCATTTATATTCATTTGACAACCATACGTTATGAATTTTACTGAAATGTATATGAAATATATATTTACTGAGAAATATTTTACTGAAATAATTTTACAAGCAAACAAAAATGCTTTAATATCATGAAAATTATTATAAATTTGAGCATACCTTTCAATCCATCTCCATACGAATCTATCGCACTTAACGATTCATTCGTCTCTTCTATCTTTGGCATCACTTTACTCAAACGTTCACTGCTTGCCTTATTGATGAAATAATCCAAACCAGGACCATCTACAAATACTAACAGAGTCATCAAAGTCCTTAACATTCAGCAATTTTCAAAATAGTCTTGAAGACTCACCAATGTTAAATTTCAGAGGCCTTTTCTGAACAAGCGATGCAAACGGTTTGATTTGTGAATAAGCAACTAGCAAAGAATGCGGTTGTCGTAAGCCGCTGCATCTCATAAGGAATTTGCAGATCAGAATGTATCGGCTCTTCGTAAAGAACATTGCTATTCTGAGAATGCAACTGCACAGTTCCTTCGATTAGAATCTGTCACTTATTTTAAACGAAAGGTCGCCATATTTATAAACCATCTAATAAGACCACCTCATAAGCATATCGAATCAAAACACTATTGAGATTTTTCAAGTGCGGTTTCGAGTATGCTTTGCTGAATGCAAAACTGATCACTGGTGAAACAAAGTTTCATTTTGAAAAATTTTATTAAATTCTGTCATAAGCACATAAACATAAGCTAATGATTATAAAATATTTTTCATTTCCATTCTTCTCCTTGCTATTTCGCCGTCCTGAAAATATTATTATAAACGAAAATTAAGATTGGAAAAGAGATTCTTGAGAGGATATTCTTGAATGGAGAGACGTAATTCAACAGCAGCAACAACAGCGTACATGACTCAATGAAATTTAATTTTCTAACTAATTAGACAATCTGTCAAAAATATTTGGACAGCCAAAATTATCTCTGCAATATTTCGTACCGTCCCAAATTCGTAATATTTAGGAACTAGCTGATGCAACCATTCTGGTTCAATTACGCTGATGTCACGGATCGAATCCTGTAGCACTTCCGTGAATATTATCCTGAATTTTAGTTCGAGTGAACTAGCATATAGTCAGTAATAAAAGTGATTTACATTAATTACAAAATTAATATTTTTTTATAAACCATTTTGGGAATTCCCTTCTGTACATAATAGCGGATCCTTTGTAAATTTTGAAATGGTGTTCATTCCTAATAGCAACATAATCGCCGGAATAATGATAGTAAGCCGCTTGTGAAAAGAATCCTTTTACCAGACAATGAAGTATTGATTTTAATTCTCCTAAAATAATCATATGCTTCAGAAAAATCTCATCTATTCATGTTTGGAAGAAGTATCTACCTTTTAGTAGCAAGGAGGACGACAAAAATAGAAACGGAATATGACAAATACCATTTTCTTTGCATGATTTAATTTGTATATTGTGACGTCTCAAAAGACCGAATAGCTGATCACGAATTGCTTCTGCACGACACAGGCCGCGATAATTCAGAAAATGATTGATGCACCACTTTTTTGACTTCCCATTCTTAAAATAAAGAAAATTAAGCTAAATCCGATCTTTAGCTCTTATCCTGGAAAGCATTAAGAAATAAATCTCAAAAGATAACACCGTATCCATCAAAAATTGGTTTAACAATGTGCTCGAAAATTTGTCTTAAGAATATGCAGCAACAAAATATACCTGCATGAAATTTGTGAAAACGTTCAAAAGAGTGAAATGGTCGCCTTCCTCAACCGAGAAACTCCTTTTTATTAATTCCTGAAACAAGATAAAAATATAGCAACTCCACCAAAATTTTTACAGAAATATGTGACGAAACTGAAGAGATTTACAGCTTGATGACGACATTTCGATGGCACTACAAAAACGTCCTGTATTTGAAGCATTGCTATAATCGCCGCAATCTCTTCACTGCAACCGAGTTCACCTGAAAATATAATATTAAACAATTAAATCATAATTTATCACAATTGCATCCAATATTTTTTCATGACAATCTTTACCTCACATTGAATCCATCAAATACAATTGCCACAAATCAAAATTATGTTGCAAAAATTTGTATCTAACTTTTCGGATATCAAAAGAATAGAATTCTTTGTATCAATAATATATCAAAGTTTGGACGCGTTATATGATAACAGAAATGTAAAACAAAGATTATAATTACTTTCAATTTTAAAAGGAACGAATTTTTTTCAATTCGAAAATGAACCTACCCGAACATAGAAGAGTTTTGGAATGTTGAGGCGGCAAGGGAAATTCTGCCATTTGAACTCCTAGCGGATTGGTTAATAAACCGTCTTCAGAAAGGGCTTCAAGATAATATAATGACTGAAGACCTTCAACCATTGCAAACGAAGGAGGCCGCTGAAAATCCTCATAAAAGAAGTTGAATATTAGAATTGAAAGCATTAAAACTGATTACCCATTTAAAAAAAAAAAACCTTACTGATAAATAATTAAAGCGTAACACATTGTGTATCCCTAAAGCTTTCAGCAAGAGAATGACAGCTGCGAGGTTTAGTCGCTGCATTTCAGGTATCGTATTTACCAGAAGCTTGTCGTATTCTTCTTCTGAAAGTTAATTCCATCAAAGCTACCACTTGGAAGGAGTAACATCTCATGCCAGATGCTTAAATTGCACCGCATGTTGTTAGGTGAAATATACTTTGCCATACGTGGATAGAGACGATAACATTTTCCGGGGCGAACTCGTCCGGCTCTACCCGTACGCTGTTGTGCAGATGCTTGAGAAATAGGTAATTTCATCAAGCTTTCGAAATAATTTTCAGGATTCATCACTCGAAGTTTCACAAAACCACAATCAATCACTGAAAATGTAGTAAAATGAATGATGCACGAATTATATTTAAACGACAACTATCTGTTGCAATAAAATGAAGTGTAAATACAGCTGATTCCTCATTTGTAATTTAGTCACAATATCTGCTAGCATAAAAACAATATGTGACAAAAGGATAAAAAGATTTTCCATGCACTGAATTTCTGAACTGACCATAAGTTATCCCCGATATGGTTAGAGACGTTTCGGCAATATTTGTAGCAATGACAATTTTCCTTGTGCCGTAAGGGGTTGAATCAAAAGCTTTCAACTGCAAAAATGTACAATAATGGCTAAGTATTTTGTGAAAGAAATTTATATGTACAGTTAAACACATCAGCTATGTTTAGTATATATGCAAGTTGAAAAAAACTCGTAGAAACAAGAATACAGTACCTGCTCAGACGACGGTAACGAGCCATACATCGGTACAATCCAAAGTTTATCTACCTTTTTTTTCCTGAGATCTTTAGCTGCTTCAAGCAGCTGTTTACTAACTAATTCTACCTGAAAAAAACTCATCTTCCGGATCATATTTTTTATCAACTGCTAAAACTAAAAGCATATTTCCAAATGCAACTTAACATACCTCATCCTGTCCTGTAAGAAATACTAATATATCGCCGGGTTGCTCATTTTTATGGATATCAAGGACAGTTTCTACCGTCTTCTGAATATAATCTGATACAGCACTGAAAATACCATTCAGAAAAACACATATTTTCGTAACAAAAAAAATTCGCCGAAATCAAAAATCATTTTTCAAAACAATTTTTGCATCTGAAGGCTTACTTCCTTGTGTGATAGACAGTGACAGGATGGATGTGACCCTCAACAGAGATAATACTTGTTATGTCTTTGCTTTTGTCATTTGTATCATTTAACTCGAAAAAATCACGGAAAATCTGCAATTATTGAAATTTATTAGAAGGAATAAAACATATGAAGGCATGACTTGTTCATTGCAGTCTCTAATCACTGATAAAATAAGTATTCAGCAGCTTTCAATATCTAAATAGATTGTATTTAAGATTTATTGTCATTTACTAAAGTAGTGTAAATGCAGTTTATAAGTAAAGAAATTATTTCTTGACATTTCACCACTCAGTTATTGCTCTAATAACAAATAATTAACAATAGCATCGAGAGTTGCAGACGAGATGATTATTCGCAGATCTTGACGTGCTATAATTACTTTTCGCAGTAAACCCAATGTAATGTCAATGTTAATAGAACGTTCGTGCGCTTCATCAATCATCAGTATGCTGCAACAAATCAGTGACTCTTAAATTATTTTCATATTTGGAAAATGTTAAGGTACAAAATATATGATACCTGTATTGTGTTAATAAAGGATCGGACATAAATTCACGAAGAAGGATGCCATCGGTCATGTACTGAAATAATATGGTACTATATCAAAATACTGCTCATTACAACAAACTTATATGACAACAACCGATGTCTTTATTACGGGATAATCGGTATATATTTATTTGATTATATTCACTTCTTTTTTTAGTAATCGAAATGTTTATGAATGTATTGAACACCAATGTCTCAAATTATGATATTCTTCTAAAAATGGTTATCGCTATACTGGTAATATGCAGGATATCATTTATGGCAATATATTATGCAACATAGCAAGAAGACTCGCCTTTATCTTAGTTTCCGAATCAGTCATATCATCAAAGCGAACTACATAACCAACGTCTGCACCAAGTCTGCATGATTTCTCTTCAGCAACGCGATTAGCCAACTAAAAAAAGATCCCTCATATAGTCTAATATTGAGTTTAACTGCACTCAAAAGACATCTTGAGAATAGAAACATAACAAACACCAGACTATAACTACATCAATTTTTTTTAAAAATCAGTTTTCTGGAAACAAACCGTAACTGCTGCTATCCTTCTCGGCTGCGTTACGCCTATTTTTCGCCCATCTGAGGCCCAACCAACCTCCATCAGGTACTAAAAAAATATCATTGGATGTATTGCTTTCGTTCTTTTATTTACCACTAATCGTAAACACTGATCACAGACAGCAAGAATATGTTTGGTGGATCCATCGCTCTATATTATATGCGTTCTATTTCAGGAAAATTTTACTATTGCTTCAAAACTTGAAGCTTTATAAATAAAGTAAATTAAAATTCTTCTGCAAAAAATCAGAAGTTCCTCTTCTTGGAAAATCAATTTAGACTAGATTATAATATGAAGCTTTCGGACCATGTTCCAAGATGAATTCTATCAAATGTATTAATATTCGCAATATTTCAGAGTTCTTTACTACAAAATCCTTCTTTCCTTCCCCTTCTCTTTCGTCAAGGAAAAAAATGTCGCGACACCTTAAGAGCAAAATACGCAAGAAGAAAATAAAATTTGAAGGCAATATTATTACCTGAGGTACTTGAGTGCTTTTACCACATCCAGTTTCTCCAACAATTATAAGTATGCGATATTTTTCTAATAAATATATAATGTGATTGCGATACTATAATAAAATAAAACTTAAAATGACCATAAAACCGTTGAGTTTCTTTAATGGTATTATCAGTTAGTTCTACCGACAATCTTATCAACCAGTAACATTAATTTATAATACAAAAGAAGAGTTCTATTCCGTTGTCTTCGGTGAAGATAATTGTATTAAAATAAATAAAACATAATTTATAATGACTCTAGATTGCAAAACATTATGAAACTGAATCATTAAATATTTGTAGTCAAACCACACTATTCTTAAAAATCATAGAGGAATTTCTGCAAATAATAAATTCTTTCGCTTTTTTTATACCTTAAAAATTGGAAGTCGAGTACGTTGCTGCTGAATGGAAAGTGCAAGGAATGGATTACTTACAACTATATTAGTTCTTTCTTCAGTTATGCGATCCTCCAGAACAAGTGAGCCATTACGGCTATCGAAAGTATTATCATCACCTAAAAAACGAATGTATGCATATAAGGGTGTAAATGTAGACATAAAGAGGGCAAATAATGATGATATAAGCGTAATAAATTTTAGTGAAAATTCCAGAAAATATAACGAAAAACGATTTCAGAATTCGGACCGACAAAGAATCTCAGTTTGATATAATAGTAAAAAGATTTTCAACACGATTAATTCTTAATACAAGCAGATAACCGAATTGAAGAAATACATGAAAAATCTATTAAAGAGCAGAACTTAAAACTCAAGTCCAACAGTTTCAGGAGGAACAGTAACAGCGTCTCATTAAATAATAAGTGGTCAGAAATCTCAGTCCAAAACATTAATTGGATAGTGCTGACATGTTCAAAGCAGTTAAAAATGATAGATGGACAAAGGACAAAAATTGTTCGCAAAAACCAACAATAACAACATACTTACTAGGTTTCAGAAAAACTGGTCTACTTCTTCGAGCTCCATGCTCCATTGTTACTTCAGGTGCTTCATTGTACACTCCCTCGCTTCAATTGTAACTCCCCCTGAATTTAGATAATTGCATGTGCTTGCCTCATCTTGTACTATTTTTACAACAGTAAAGTTGAATCCTGGAATTACGGAAGACTAATTTCAAATCCGAATACATCTCCCTGCAGAGACTTTGACAATACACAACCTAATACATCGAACCTAATAATCAGCAATATATTTTCATCTTATCACCAGTTCTTTTCGTTTCAACATTTTACTTAGTCAACATCTACCTAAATCGTATCAAGTTTCTGTTTCTGGAAATTAAGCAATTTGTTGCTATTTTCATGCAACGACTTCAATGAGTAACAGTTATTTCATTTGGATAGATCACGTTGAGTTCAGATAATCTTAGAAACAGGCAATCATAACCCGTTCAGAAAAACAAAATCACCAAAGCAAACTGATTCGAGAATGCTCGTAGTTATTAACAAATAAAAGCTTATTTTACTTCTTATAAATAAATATCATTGATAGTGAAGAGCACAACATATATAATAGTGCAACTACGAAAAACAAAACATATGCATTCAAATCTGCTGCTCCAAATGTTACTAATAAAAAACTTCAAATACACTGTAAACGCAATATGCGTTTATACACCAAAGCAATGTAAACATCTACAACGGAAAAACTCATTATTTTTTCTTTCTCAATTACATGAAAAAAAATCAATATGTGAACAAATCAACAGGAAACATATAAAATTTCATTGCTAAAAATAGAATAGAAAAGAGAACAGTAATGCAATTTGCGGACTATCGTCGTATCCGCTTCTCAGCTGGGAAATCACCACCCATTGGCGGTCCACGATGGAAACCTCCCGGTGGTCCACTTTGCATTCCGAAATTTCCTGGCCCCATCGGTCCTGGCCCTCGAAAACCACTAGGTCCGCCTGGAGAACCGAATGAAGGTGGCTGCAAGAAGAGATGTAACCATTAATAACATGAACTACGAAAATAAACAGTAAATCTAAGCTGAAGCTGAAGCTTCATCAGAGTTTTTCCCGTAATTACGTGAGTTGTGACTGGCTCTACAATACAAAAAAGTTTCAAGCGAAATTATCCAGTGATTAAATGCAAACATACAAAGTTTAAAAGCACTTACTACTCCCTGCTGAGGTCCACCAGGTCTTGGTGCATCAGCACGAAATATCTGCAGTAGTTTTTGCACCCCTTGTACAAGCGTTGGATCTATAATATTTTAAACTAACTTCTGCAATGAATTGATTACATCGCAGTTCGAGTTTCTATAAATTATAACACAACAGGCCTTTTCAATTATCGAACAAGATACCTTCGCTAACAAAAAGGTTCGATTAATTCCATTTCAAAAGCAAAACCATAACAAGTAAATTATATTAAAAGAAATTTAATTTATTCTACTGGAAAAAACTTTTTAAGGTGAATGAATTAAAGTGCTTTAAAACCATTTTCGAAGAATGTCGAAAAACGCTTACCTGGACCGCCTCCCTGATTGACAGGTCCACCGGGTCCACTGGGTCCACCTTGTTGAAAGGGTGGTCCCCTTCCTGGATTATCCATTTGTGGTGGTCCACCACGCTGCATATCAGGTGGACCTCGGCCCATCATTTCTTGTCCTCTTGGTCCCTCAGGTCCACCTTGTCCACCTGAGTTGAACGGTCCTCCTGAAACAACTTTGAACTAAATTTTATCAGAACAAACATTTTTTCGAAAAAAAACAATCTAAATGCAAATAAAATTTGAAAGTAAAACAAGATGAGCGAGTGCAATATAGCTATGGAATTTTTATATGATGAAAACATCATTAAATAATTAAGAAAAAAATTAAATAATCAACAGAAAACATATAACAGAAATAAATTACTGTGCTGCGGATGCGAACCTCCTCCGCCGGAACCAGTAACGAAAAATTCACGCGGCGGTCCACCAGACATTCCACCTGGCCCATTCGCCATACCTTGTGGACCAGATGGTCCACCAGTTAAATTTCCCAGTAAGGTAGGCATTTCACCACGACGTGCTGCTACTTGTGCCATACGCTCACGTTTTGCAGCTTCTAATCGCTCAAGCTCCTGTTGACGACGAGCGAGATCTATAATAAAACAGTACACCACAGCAAAAGTTTGAATTTTCAGTTTTGAATTTCAGTAACATGAAATACAAAGTACATGCATGAAGTAACGATTATTTATGTAATAACTAAATTTACTCTGACTTACTCAAATTAAATTACTTCTACAACACTTTCATACATGGATTCGGTCATAAAAATAATCCATAAATAAAACACAGGAACAAAGCAAGTTAAGTGAAACAGTTAGAAATACGATGTTGTGAAACACTCTGGTACCAACCTATATATACGTACTAGTTTTCTAAACATAAGCACGTTGCATAGTGATCATAATCTCGTTCTTTACAACACAAATTTCGAATCGATAAGAAAATCACCAATAATACGCAAACTTAGCATTAAAATAATCAATAATATGTGACAAAGGCGATGCTATATCACACTAACACAGTTTCAAATTATATCGACCATAATTCATAATGATTATTCCACAACGCTGATCGGTAGAGGGGAACCAAAAATGGATTGGATTCGAAATGATATAAATTGAAATTAAGGCTTGAGCTAAATATTGCTAAAAAAGAAAGATGGCCAATGTGGCAGAATGACTTGAAGTAGATTTAATCCCATTGCTAGTAACCTACCCAAAATGAGATCTTGCAGATCAACCACAATTGGTAAATACAATTAACGCGGTTCAATCACGTCAACATTTGAATATTTATCTTTTAACCACTGCACAATCATTCTAAAAATACCAGTTTTTTCCAAGCGTTTGCAAGGAACTTCAAGAAAACGAAAGTAAATTTCTGAGTTATCTTCCTAGGCATATGGAAAGGTTAAGAGCATGGAATCCAGGAAAACAATGAGATTCACACATGTCAGTATCAGCTTCGATAACGAAACATGAAACACTGTTACGACTAAATAGATCCTTTAACCTTAATCTTCAACACTCTTTGTAAAGATGAAGTAAAAGAAAGGCAGTTGGGAAAGGAAAAAATTATAGCGCTTCCTCTTCAACTGTTATCTGTTTAGTGCGATTTATAGTTAGGAATAAATTAACTTTGCCCGTATGCCAAAGATTTTGGGTAATAGACTCTGCGCATCAGATATTAAGCAGAATAAAATGACGTCCACATATCGAAACTTAGTAATTCCACTCTCCAATTTCTTTTTCATAAAAAGAATATTTTTGGTACCCAGCAAGAAAAGGAAGTACCGCCAAAATTGATTTCACATCACTTTCTTTGAAATGCTTTAAAAACAACATAGATTTTATCTAAATTGAACCAAACGAAAAAAATAAATTCAAAAAAATTTTAAGAAAAACACTTGAAGTATGTTCCGAATTAAAGTAACAATCTTCCACATTGATGTAAAAAGGATATAACGCTTTACAGTGAGAGCGAAAAGTGAAAGAGTGTAAAAACCTTGCCTTCACGGAGCAACTGAGTTTGATAATCCTGGTAAGCGAGATCCATATCAGCTTCCAAGCGTCTACGAGCTTCCTTGAGCTCTTCTTCCAATTGAGCTCTACGCTGTCTTTCCACCTCATATAGCTCCTTCCATTTTAACCCGAATACGTATTCGAAACTGTTTGCCGGTGGAAATCGTGGGCCCACTTCTCGTTCCCTACATAGGTAACACTTGCGCTACACATATTCACTTTTCGCAACATTACTGTATTACTCATTACGCACTTCTATCTCTGCCAGATATTAACTTCCTAATTCACAAAATAATCATACATTTAATTTAAGCCAATAAACAACGATAACAATGATCGCGTGTGGGACTTTCACGTAGTACTTTAGCTGTACTCAGTGTTCCCCTTCATATCATATTATGATTATTTCGGCCTTCTGGGCAACTCAGATATTGTATTAGGGGCAGATAAAAGATTTCAAAAAGTTGCGCATGATCTCACGGGAAGCGCTTTGAACGACACATTCCACAGCATTTACAGCTATTCCAATTTCTGTATTACGTAGTAGCCAAAATATACCCATATTACAGACCCCCTTATCCGAAACACACAACTCGGTCTAATTTTTAACAAACTATTTTGTACAACTATGTCAAAACGATCGGTTTCAAGAAATAGTGTGCTAAAACATGATGCAATTTCAAACGTTCAATGAAATTTGAACTATCTGAACAACTTGAGAATGACCAGTTTGTCATAGCTGCACTCCACTTTCCCCCCTCCACTTTTCTTCCAACCAATGACGATACCTTGTCCTTCTTCTATATTGCACACATCACTCAAACACAATCTAACCACACTCCTTCTCTCCGTCTCAAAGTGTGGAAACAATTTTGATAAGTTGCTAATAACTTGGAATTAAGGGATTCAAACATCACTGTGAAGCCTGAAATAACCATATTAAAACAATGACAAAATTTCCCACACCAGTGCATTACATAATGTAAATAAACATTGCAAACATTTCCCAGAACAGTTATAACTATTAAACATATGATCGTAGAAGAAATCTAATCAACCACCATATAGCAATGGGCAAAATCACACTTCGTTTTAATTCATTTCATTTCATCTTAAAAACCATAAGCAAACTTGTAAATTAATCTGATGAGCTATGAGCCATAAAACAAAGCTTATATGGTTGTTTTCAGTAGTACGACTCTAAACCACTTGATATATACTATCGCTACAGATCCCTTGTGACTAAAAAATTGCCGCAAAAAATTCAAATACTTGGCAAAAATTTAATAGAATCAAAGCATTTCCGATTTTCCACTTAGCGCAAAAAAAAAGCGGTGAAATGTTTTTCATGAAATCATGCTTTTTCCAGGCCATTACCACATATTGCTCTGATAGACTAATATACAAAAAGAACCTATTGTAACAAAATAGCAAAGGCACTTTTGGCTTTAAGGAAGTTAAACAGTCTCAATCATACAACAAAATTTCTGAATCGCTGCTTGTTTCGCGTAGTACTAAACGAAACTGAAATTACAATCCCCTACAAACTTTTAGAACAGAGATAAAGCTCACTTAACTTCATGAATGAAATGACAAATTTGATAATGAGGCAAAATTGGTAAGAAAACTATTAGCTTTCCAAATATTTAATGCAATGCTGCTATTCAAGGCATAACAGCACGCTAGATACGGCTGAGCATCAGATCCTCGGAGAGGAATTACAATCAGCCGTCTAATCTAGTCGTCTAATCATTTCCTACATCTCTCCATTGGTTGAACTACTTGTAAAAACAAGAATGAGTAAAAAATATTTCAAAACAAATTCAATGTTTCCGGAAATTTCTTGGAAAATGCAAAATTTAGGCAACCAAACTATCAGCTAATAAATTATTAGCAAAACAGTTAAAGCAACAAAAAACTAACAATTTCTTCAAAGTGTATATTTTAAAAAACTTATGCAACTTGAAACTTTTCTCAAGAAAACAAAAAGTTCTCTGCCTGCTGTAATTTCTCAACACATTAAAACATTATTAGAGGATTCTGAATATAGCAAATAATTTTTAAAATCATTTCGCAGTAAGAAAACAGCCATATAATGTTCCAACCTGGTCCACTCCCTAATTTTTCAATCACAACTTCCATTACCATTCCTTTGAAAACAGTGATAACAGTGTGATAATATAAACCCACGCATTTATACTTTCCTTTCAGTTAGAACTTAAAACGGTTGCTCTAAAATGAAGATTATGCATAACTGTGGCTTTACTTAGTGCTCAATTCTTGAAAAGAAATAAATGCAAAATAAACGATGCGTATATTAAAGCTCATTCAAGACAACCATAAGTTTGCCATTTTTCAATTATGCGCAAATTTCAATTAATAAATTACATGTCCAATTTTATATAGGGTACCTGATTACGACAACATGCATAAAAGTATACTTATTCCACCAATATCAAATTCTATAGGACCGTCTTTCTAGTCCTTTCCACAACAATTTCTCCCTTACGCAAAGCACACAGAATAAGTCCAACTTAACATTCATGAACAATACAAAAGTCCAGGTATAATTGCCATCTTATGACTGAGATATAGCAGAAAAATGCGATTTACAAAGCGACTTATTGGTTTGTTTGTTGGAAACACAATGCAGTGACTTAAATTTTTTGGAAGTTATTGTTTACACGATAAGGAGTCAAGTAAGAAAGCCACATATATGCATATCTCCATGATTTAGAGCAGAACCATTACTGTGAAATGCCGAAACGATCAAACAATCTAAATTACAAAAACTGGTCACTTTTATAACCTGAAGCAAAACTAAGAAATTAGAAAGAGTACTTTTGAAGCATTGCACTGCGCTGTATCATACGTTCGGCGAGACCATCGTCTTCATCACGCGGCTCCAACATCTCCACAACTAATGGTTTTGGACTTCTGCAAGATGTTTTGAAAAAATTTCTCGCCAACAGCACGTATTTTTTCAAAACTAAGAATGCATGACTTCGAACTTCTTTTTTGTCGTTGCTCGAACCGAACAACGATGCCATAAAACATTTGTAGTCCGAAAAAATGTGCCACTGTGCATTACAGCAATACACAAGTAGAACAGAAACTTACGCCGTTAATAAGAAGACTTTTTCCCGTATCTGATGAAGTGCCTCATTAGCTGATGGCTTACGTTCGAACTCCACAATTCCTTCTCCGGTTGGCTTACCCTTTTCGTCAACTATGTGAACTGCTCGTTCTACTTCACCAAATGCCGAAAATGCATGATAAAGCATCTCATTCGATACAGTTGGTGAAAGTTCTTTAACTCTCAGCGCTGCACCATGAACAGCAAATCGTACACGAACTGGACGGCCATGTATTATTTTTCCATCAATAGCTTCTTTTGCACTTTCTGCGTGGGCGCGTGTATCCTAAGTAAATTTAGAGGACATACAGTATAATTTGCACAATAGGAATGACATAAATCCAAACTGATAAAAAGAACAGATAAATTCAAATTAAGCTGTGATAATAATATGTAAGAAAACTAACCAATCGTAAGAAAGCAAATCCTTTGCCACTCAAATAGCATTCTGCGATGTCACCATGAGGCGCAAAGAGTTCCTTGAGTTCCTGTTCCTTCAAGTCATTCGGCAAATTGCCAACAAATAAACGGCATCGACCAGTAAATTTCTTTTTTGGTAAATCACTCATCAGATCGGTTTCACTAAAAGCTTGCCCAGAAAGGACATTCATTGAAGACATCATATTCATTGGTCCTCGACCACCACCACCACCTGGCCCCATCCCCATCCCACGAGTCGCTTGTCCACTAGATGGTCCTCCTATATTACTCGACGAATTGTTGTACTGGTATTCGCTTGATCGGTGATGATGCCTTAACAATGTTACTTAACAATGTTATTAGAATATGTTTCTCTCCACAACTTCCCAAAAAGTTTTGACCAACGTGGCTGCAAAAGATTTCATGCGGATCTTGATATAGTCAGGATAATAATTCATCAGCGAGGTTTTCTTTTAGCAAATGAGAGATTAGATCCATATGACAAGAAAGTGATAACACAAGATAAATAAGAAGGAAATGAAGATGGAAATTAT